ACAGATTGTATCGTGCAGCTTTAGCAATACGAGACCCGGCAGACTGTGGCTTGATGTTAATATCATTGTTTACAAGAAAGTAAATAGAACTCCTGAATGGGTAAATCTGTTGGCACTGAATCTGGTGATAAAACAAACCAAAAGATGCTTTTGGAGGGATCATTTCAGTAATAACTAAAGTGTTTGAAGATCTTGTTTCAAGCATTTCACCTCGCAGTCCAGGTATTTCATGTTTCCTCCCACAGTTACGCAGCAGCAGCTTAGATGTGCCTACTTAAAGTTTTTCAAGAATGGACAAGCCACCACATGCTCACATGCAATTTGGCTCAAGTGTGCCATAACACTTCACTAGAAAATGTGCACAGACGATAGGTTACATGCCATAAATAAAGTGCCCAGGATTTAGTTCCACTACGGTGTTTTTTTATAGTGAAAACTGCAGCCACTGTTTTGGTTTTTGAAAAAAAAAAAAAAGAAAAAAAGACAGGATTAGGCAAGAATTATGTCATCTTCTAAGTTGCAATGTAAGGTATGTTCTCTAAAATTTAATTTTTCAGTTTAAATGATGAATAAAAATGCAGCTCCTTTAACCTAAATTTAAATGTTTTAATCACTAATGTCTGATTTGTTGTTGTCCTAGAATGCAATCAGAGGAACCCGGGAGGCGGACAGCGTCTGTGTTGAGATTTTAAAAACAACAGCTACCTCTCCAGCCCCCGAGGACGGACTTTTCCTGTATCCTGAATCCTGAGAACGGCTGCACATGGTGCACCCGACGCCTGAAACAGCAGAGTGGCGCAGACGCAGACGCACCGTCAGCCTCCAAAACCTAAGCCACAAATTATGTCTGGTACATGGAAAAGATCATGTGGCCCTGCAGCGGAGTAGAGGTGGTGAGAACGAGGAGTTTGGTGGTAACTGGGTTGGGATTGGACGGATACGATTTACATTCCTCTCCAGGGATGTGATATCAAGACAAGGTCAGACCAAGGCTAATACATAAGACTCTGAGGGAGGGAGGAGGAATCTAATCTTTTTCTCTTTACTCAAAATTACGTTTTAAATAGAAAACAATACCGTATTTTGCGTGACCTCCACTTGTTGCATAACTCGGGGAGATACAATCTGTCTTGCATTAAATGAATCACCTGCATCTTCTAAGATCTATTTACTAATTAGTGTGGACGCACAGCGGACGCCTTGTGTACTGTGTTTGTCAAAATATATATATACTGTGACGCCGAAATGTTTTGAATGCATTTAAGGAGATTACTCCTTTCAAGGAAATACCTCAAACTCCATCAACATCCTACAGCACATTCCATCTCATTTGAATAGTCGGTGCACAGACTAACCTCAATGCCCAGAGGAACCTCATTGTAATTGCAAAGAAATGTAACACTCTAATCTGAAGTGAGTATTCTAGTCACACTTTGGAGCTGGAACAACGTTGACTTTCCTGCAGCGTTACCTAAGAGGGACTTTCTCATGGAAATCCGATATCTTTATTTTCAGAAGGATCTATAATAATACATTCGGTTCATTTATGTATGTATTTCTGAGAGAGGATCAGAAGAAAAAAAAGGTAGAGGAGGGAGAGGTAGAATCTCCAAAAGCACAGAGGGAAATACTCCTGACAACCTAAAGAGATTAGTGTCCATTACCAAACAAATTTCTGCTACCACCTACAACACTTATGACAGCCCTCAGTTCAACCCTCCACGGAGCTCTGGTAAAAAACCACACGCTTTTGTCCTCGCGGCCGCGTTCCCTCGACACCAGAATGAAACAAGCTCTGTTTTCTTGGTTGCTGGGTCTGAGAAAAAGGGGGTGAGTGTGTTTTAAGAAGGGTGTGGGAATCAATTATCCCACTCAAGAGACATGCAGGACCAGTGGGTATTGCTCGGGATTAGTGTCCATTCTTGTCATGTACTGACAAACCCTCCCGCTGATCTCCTTAACACCAGGTGTTATTAAGAAGCAGGGCCCTTACTGGGGGCCTATAGGCTTTTGAATAACTGCCCTTTGGGAATGACTGACAAGCTTATAATGTTGGAAAAAAGTGCATTCCTGGGCTTTCATGTGCTCACCTGTGTGAATTCTCAAATGATATCGGGCATGAAAGTCGTAAGTGAAATCATGCAAAAAGTAAATTGAGAGGAATTGCAACCTTTGCTTTGACTAATCATTTCTACAAACGTGTTCGCTTGAGTGAAAATAATGAAGCTGCATTTCTATTTGACAATTTAAAGTGAATATAAACAACATGGGTGCTGGACAATATGCATTCTGTTGGATGAGGAGACCAATAATGCTCTCATTCTGTTCCCATGAATGTGAAGCCACAGCCAGCAGGTTGTTAGCTTAGCTTAGCACAAAGACTGGAAACAACAGCATCTGCACCTCTAAACTCAAAGCTCTGTGTTTAACCTGTACAAAAACCAAAGAGTAAAACTATAAACACACCACGTTCTGACTGTTTCTTCACATGTTTGAGTCTCTGCTGGTTGTCCAGAAGCTGCCAACTTTATGTTGGTTTTCTATGGATTAATAAGCAACATACAGTTTGTTAATTAGAGGCACAGGTGAGTGGATTTTATGTATGGAGCCACTTCAGCTGTGTTAAGTTAAGCTTAACGCTATGTTCACTTGAGAGTAGTAGTAGGGCTTTTCTCCATCAGCTCTGTGCCAACAAATAAGCATTTTGCTTAAAATGTCAATCTTTAGCTGCAGAGCACCTTCCTCACAAAGCTGCGAGTCAGCCTGTCATGATCGCTCAGACTCAAATTACTTCAACTTATACCCTGTGCAAGCACTTAATAAGCGGTGATCCGTTGACGGGAGTGATCATCGGGGATCCAGTATCGTGTGTAACGTGCAACCGTAATTATCAAGCTTGCTCACTTTAATCTCTAATTCGAGGTGCCATTGTGTTTACACACAGTAAGTAGAAACTTGGCTCGGCGGAGCCGCTTGGCCCATCTGTGGCTGTTTGTGATCTGCGGTGAATGGCTTGGATATTGGGAATGAATAGACTTCATCCCGAATCCTGGCAGCAGCGCTCCCCAGGTGTAGCTGAGAAAACCTGGAGCCTTCCCAAGTTCAGATACCTCTCTCTCTTTACGTGCCAGAAATCAAGGTGTGTGCGGACACAAAAGATGTGAGGCTGGTAGCTGAGCCTCTGAAAGGTGTTTACACAGGAGTTAAGTAGGGTTGTTCCTGACTAAAGACATTCTCGGCTGGCAAACAGTCGGTGGATATTATTTACAAATCAAGAGGTCAACTTCATAAACAAATATGCAATACTGCTTCTTATTCATGCTGTAGGTGCCGTGTGTGTGAAGAAGTCTGTAAATACCGCTGTCATGCCAATGAACTGTTCCTGAAACTAACAATCCAACCATCTGTAAAGTCTCTGCACTGATTAAAGTGGACAAAATCACCTTGATATTAGATAAACTAAAGCTCTTTTACATTCAAGCATATATTAAGAACGGCATTTTGCACCTTTCAAATGTGAGTGAGTGAGCGGACTTTGCATGTTAAAGACGGGTTTCTGTGACAATAACTAAACGTTTTGATAATCTCCAAATCTTATGCAATCAAATGCGTAGGAAGAGTAAATATTTTTCAGGAGCGGGCCTGCCAAAGAGTTCAGATTACTTGCGAGAATGATTGATAGTTTGCCAATTGATTTATGGTGCTCAATATGATATTTTGCAAAGTGATTAAAGGTTTCGTCTTCAGCTTTCAGATGTCTTGTGAAATCGCCTACAGCGGTTATATTCGCGGACAAATTCACTTCATCGTGAACTGCAGATGAACTCACCTCCGCACATGTGGTTTAGGAGAAACCGATCGCAGTTTCTCGCAAAAGGCAAGACTGGACTGATATTTAACTTCAACAGACGATCTTTAGCCAGAATCTGTAAAACAGGAAGCCGTTTCTGTGGCGCGTGATGCATTTCTGACAGGTGGAATCAACACAGTAATGACAACGTATGAGCATGTGAGTGGACTCGATTAAAACGCAGGAAAGTCTGAGCCAGGTTGGATGATAAACATTTGAGCTGAGTGCAGCAGCAGCGGTGGTCCAGATCGTTTGCTCAAATAAAAAAAAAACTGAATCTATTAAATACTCCATCATGAAGGCATTATTTTCTCAAATCAGCCAACGGAGTGAAATCTAGCTTGCAAAGTATTCAAAATGTGTGTGCACTTAGCAGGTGGTGGTGCTAATTTAACTTGTTAGCGGTGTCCTGAAAGTTTGTTTTCTGTGTGCATTTTGATCTACAACAACAATCTATAGTTTAAAAAATAATAAAAAATACACCAAATACGTCAAAACTTTAAAGTTTATTCTAGGAAACAAAAGTTGCCGTCCAACACGAGGCCCACTTGTGGTACCCCAGTAGCTGCTCTAGGTGCTTTCAGTCGTATCACATGATCTTCCTCTGCAGGCGGAGCTGCCCCTGTGGTGAGCCTGTTATGTCAGCTATGTCAACTGTACTTAAGCGCAACACTTAAGTACGCTTAAAGTCTGCTTAAGTGTAATACTTTTGGCAAATGTGCTTAGTTACATGTAAGCAAACTGGTTTAAAATGCAAAAAAAAAAAAGAAAAAGTTTGGACTTTGCTGCTTCAGACCAACGCATGGCTTTGTTGCCATTCTGGAAATAAACTGTCACTGGTTGTAGGTATTTTATCATACAGTGCAGTCCAGCTCAGGCTGACCTCAGTCTGCACAAACACCGACTGTGTGGTGCTCTGAACGCCCACAGAGGAGAGGCTGTCACACCAATCATAAATTAAGACACCGAGATGAATAATCTCTGTGAAACCTGAGAGGGAATTGTGAATCAGTTCAGTATGTATTGCCATGCTGCCCTCTCTCTCTCTCTCTCTCTCCCTCTCCCTCTCTCTCTCTCTCCCTGCTGATGGGAGGAGCGCAGCTCCTCTCTGTATAAGAAGTGTTGAACGTTCAACAAGGGATTTTACACAGCTACTCAGGAGAAACGAAATGATCTGCCCTGGAGCCGCAGCAAAATGCTGGATGGACACCTACTCCTGGGATGGTTATCGTTCACAGTCATAGTGTATCTCCTCAGCCTACCTGGACCCTCCGCGGCTTATTTCGGGTAAGAGACTCTGATTTGATTGACAGACGCGCTCCGGTGCTGCCTTCATTGATCTGATTGGTCGCTGAGGCAGGTATTTATCGTGATCATTTTTTCTCTCTTAGCGCACAGAAAAAAAAGTAAGCTCAGGATAATTCAAACGTGTTTTCTGATTCGTGTTGACTGTGCGGGTCAGAGAGGTGTCACCCTGAAGGCCTCCAGCTGCAGCAGGTTGTCTGATCAGATCTCACACTCCTTAAAAAACAAACTATGCGCGCGCTCCCACCGCAGCATCTATTATAGGTGTCCGTGCGCAGCCCCGCAGTAATGTTGGCCGAGCAGGACTTCATTCTCTCCCTGACAATTGAGCCAGCGCCCACTGCAAAGTTTTTGAATGGCAGGTAGCGGTCGAGTCGCTTATTTTGCTGAAACACTTGTAAAATCATATCCTCAGTCGACTCTGCGAGCGAGCAGCGAAAGGTGAGTGTGTGTGTGTGTAAAAGCCTCAGACTGAACAGCTGGTAACAATAAAGCAAAATCTGACTGACTGACTGAACTGGTGGCCGAAACGTCTGCTCAGCTTTGCACAGAAAAAAAAAAAGAAATCCCCCCCTCCCCTCCACTTCCAGCATAAACATCACACAACCCTGGCAGGGGCTTTTTCTGCTGCCTCCATCAGCTTTTTTTTTTTTTCTTCTTTCTTAAAAAGCACTTGGAGCACGTGTTAGGAAATTAATCAGAAGAATTTAGAGTTGCATGAATCATGTCATACTCACAATAATGTTTAATTTAGAAAGAGCACAAGGGTGTATATTTCAAAGTCAGCGCTGCCCAGGGAACGCCTCGGATTTTAGGTGTAGCCCACTATGACCTCCACTTCAATGTGGCTGCTAATGCTCTGAACTCTGGTTTGTCTGCTCACATGAAGTGCACTCTCAGCTTTCTTTTTTTTTTCTGTCTGAGCTACAGAAGAACATTTGCAGGTCTGGGAAGCTAAGGTCATTCAAATGAGGTCAGCATGTCAGCCGGGGCTCACCTGCAGCTCCACACTTCCAACCTGCAAAATGGGTGAAACAAGCAAGAAGTGCTTTTTTCCCCTCTCTACTATGTACAAAAATATCCCTGCTGATGGGTGTTGTTAGTGCTCCCCCCCAGCTGCAGACACACACACAGACAAATGGTTGTAGGCTGCAGAGTGATGACACTTGAAGCCTTTCCAGCAGAGTCAAATTTATGGTAGGTATGGGTGTTGTGCAGGATCCAGGAGTGTTAGGCGATCTGGGAACCGTTGTGAATCTGCAAGAGAGCACACAAAAAAATGTCCCCCAAGGGCCCGTTAGACTAGCGTGTCAGACCTGTCGACCCGCTGAAGTGGGTTTTATCTCCTGGAGGCGAGGGTTATCTCGCAGAGTCTCACGAAAGGAGACACTGAAACACTTCCAAACCTGTCCAAATAAACTGGATTGTTGTAATTTACACCCAGTTTGTTTTTTTCCTGGTCTCTGGGTGAATGCTGCTGCACCCAGCGGTTATTTATGGAAACTGGGTGATGCAAATACACCGTATGGCCCCTGTAATAGGCCTGTATGATGGAAACGTCTCAGCCCCTTCCTGAGCGAAGCGTCATCATTTGTAATGCTCATGCACGTATCAAGTACTTTCTCTGTCTCCCACTCGGTCTTTGGTTTCAATTCAGTTCTAAAATTGTATTGGAGGGACAAATGTAACCCCGCTCTCTGTTTCGGTCTCCCTTCCTGTTGCAGTGTCGCTCTTGGCAGGCGGTCTGCATGAAGTCTGACAAGCCAAATTGGCACCAACATCAGACTTAATGGTCCTAATGGTAATGCATATTTACTTATTCAGTTAGCACTTGTTTTCAATTCCCTCTGTCAGTCTGTTCTCTATCTGTGGCCTGTGTGGCGCAGAGAGACATGTGGTATTACGATACTGGGGATTTATTATTCTGTGGCCCTGCGAGAAGGGGAATATGAATGAGTGTCAGTGAATGATTTAGCCCTGCAGCTGAGGAACATGAAGCGCACTGAAAGAGCCTGCACAGGTGACACAGACACAAAATGTGACTGCAACCCGTGGCCAGCTTCCCAGAAACTCGACACCAGTGACGCTCCGGCACAGTTCCTCGCTCGGCTTTGACTGGGGGGACACACTAACAGAAACCTGTTCAAATAAATATTCCACGAGCACGAGGCATCCTAGGGCCTCCTGGGTACTGATTTACTCAAAATAGAGGGTCAATGTTGCATACCCAATTTCCAGAGTGCGGTGGAGCGTAAGTGTAACATAAACACAATCTCTCCTGCCCATAGTCTGCTCAGCCGAGGGTGGGGTGGGATTCCTGGCGTAGTCGAGCACCCGCTTAAATTGTCATCCTTTGCCACAAGAATGTGAACACTCATTTGCTTTCCCTCAGCCTGTTATGGCAGGTGCTGGTTCTGCTAAATCCGTTATCATTAGAGTTTGGATCGAAGATGCTCGCCGGGTTTTCCGTCCTGAAGGGTTCCAGCACCCTGATGAGATATTGTATAAACTGTGGGTGAGGGAAGTGACTTGTTTGCTCAGTTCGGCCCGTCGGAGCGCGCTCTCAGACAGCTCTGTTGGTTTAAATTTGAGTTTTGGTAAAAGGCATGTCATTCTGTGGTCTTGTAAACTGTGCTGAATGTGAGTCTTTACACTGAGTCAAGAGTTTGTTTTTATTTAGATCATGTGCGACATATACAGGAAGGCTGCCCACAGTCATGCAACTGGGATTTACCAATCACAGAGGCACCGCAGCATCCGGAAGAAGCAAATATAGCGGTTGCTATTACTCGCTATTTAATTGCCGCGATATCCTTAAAGAATCTATCATCGGTTTGCTCCTGAAGCCCAGCCGATGCCCTTTCAGATGGTATTATTGTTTTCAGCGCTCCATTAAGGGAGGCAGCGTGCCAAAAACAACAGGATAACAAATGGGATGTGTGTAAATTTATTGAGGAGGAGTGATTTTTTAGTATGTGGCAGTAAAAGGTTTTTATCACTTTGCTGAGTTAGTTCCTGGTGTGTATCAAACAGCTGTGCGTTTTAAAGGAGCCTCATTTCTTTAGCACGGCACAAAAATGTTACAATCTGTTGCTGAAGCGGCTCCATGTCTCCATTTCCTCTGGTTCCCTCCTCTTTCTCCCCTCCTGTCTTCTGGCCTGCCTGCCTCATGTGCGTGCCGGCATCCCTGCAGTGGTTTGTGGGGAGCTGCTGGGTGATTACCACTCATTAGAAGGAGCAGAGTTAGTGTGGGCTCAGGCTGGCGTTGCCTGGCAGACAGTGGTGGCAGGCGTCTCATTACCAGGCCTTAAGGACTGATTAGCCCTGACGTGCAGCAGGGCGGGGAGCACCGTTGATAGAGGGATTTCCCAACTTCATAGGATATCCTGTGGCTACAGCCACACCTCAAAGGGTATCACTTTAGCATGAGCCAAGAAGATAGGATTCTCTCAGCACTGGCGCTGTGAAAGTGTAGTGTGGTGAGATCACGCAAACCTGGAGGCTTAGATAACCGACCGCATGGCCTCTTAAAAGAGAGAGCTTTGTTTTCTTTATATTTCTGTTTGATACGTCCAGATTCGAGCTCAGCCACGCTGTGCTTTGGGTTCTCTGCTGTCCGACGGCCGTCTGCAGGGGCCTGCTACGCCCGCGGGCGCCACCGGGTGGTGCAGCATCTTCTGAGGATGGTTCTCAATCAGCACTTGGTAACTTTCCTGTGTAACAGAAGGAGAATGGGAAATGAAATGTGAAAACAATAAATGTCGAGGCAGCCAAGTCTGTGCAGAAATAATGAAGGCTGAATTGTGCTTAGTTGTGGTCAACCTGCGTCACGTGTATAAAACGTCCTTTAACTTGGAGCTACAGAGCACAAACTCACTTGTCTTTTTGCACATTTACATGTTTGCAAAGTGGCCGATGCAGAGCTCAGCTGCTGATTTTACAGGTTGAATCATCAAAGCTTGCAGAAGTTGGTGCACACCTTTGTTATGAGGGCTTCAGTGGTCTCTGTAGTGGGTTGTTATGGGGCTCATACTGTATAATAACACAGTGGTTCTGGATATTTTTGTAGATTACATGGTTTGGTGCGGCTTTTCAAATGTGTTTGGCATACTTACAATCTAAGGACGTACAGCTCTTGTGTCATCAGCGTGCCGAGGAGAGACCACAGCCGAGGCATGTTTGATCATGAAAGCTCCGGCTCGGTTCCACCGGTCAGCTGTGCACTTCATTGGCGGATCGTTATAAGATACAGAGAGGAAACTCCCGTCGAAAGGAAACTCTTGCTGGTCAAACTGCAAACATATGATGATCTTTGCAGATGGAGCCGGAGACATGGGCAATTTGCAAAACAGGAAAACTAATATAGACTCAAGATACTTTTAGTGGTCAGCCATTGATGAGATGATGCTAGTTAGTGCGACCGCTATGTCCTGTGTTTTCCATCCTTGACCACAGGCGAGTTTTCTCTGCCTGGTTTGTGGGGATAGAAGAGACATGGCACCTCACATGGGCCAAGATTAGCAGATTGACAAAACCCTCACTTTAGGCTTCGGCCTTCGAGGGAATATCTGCGTTTCTCATGTCCAACTAAAGGAAACTTGTCTTCGATTTGTTTTTAAAGTTCATCTGTCAGCAGCAGTCAACACATATCCATTTCAAATCTCATCCACCTGTTTGCAAAGACTCTTATAAAGGATGAATGGAAGCTGACCGTGCCTGTTCTTACTTTATCTTGACGGATATCTTGCATAAACACACTTCTTTAGAAGCCTGACCTGACGTGCTCTCGGATTCGCCACTTGAATGTGTGTGTTTGTCAAATGGGTGTTATTATATACACTAAGGTTCGCTCCGAAAGGCCTGTTTACCCACAAAGCCCGAGCATTAGCTTGAGAATGGACGCAGTAGACGTACGCCGACATGAATGGGCCAAGGCACGGCCGGCGTTTTGTGATTAACCCTGGAGGAGTTTTTGTTTCACT